ATCCATCCATCCATCCATCCATCCATCCATCCATCCATCCATCCATCCATCCATCCATCCATCCATCCATCCATCCATCCTCCTCCGCTTATCTGGGGTCGGGTCGCGGGAGTAGCAGCTTCAGTAGTGAGGCCCAGACATTCCTCTCCTTGGCCACTTGGGCCAGCTCCTCTGGGGGAATCCCAAGGTGTTCCCGGACCAGCCAAGAAACATAGTCCCTCCAGCGTGTCCTGGGTCTCCCTCTGGGTCTCCTTCCAGTGGGAAGTGCACAGAACACCTCACCAGGGAGGCGCCCATGAGGCATCCTACAGCTGGCCCCTCTCGACGTGGAGGGGCAGCAGCTCTACTCTGAGTCTTCCCAAGATTATTGAGCTCCTCATCTCTGAGGGAGAGCCCATAAACACTATGGAGAAAACCCATTTTGGTCGCTTGTATCCAGGATCGCGTTCTTTCAGTCATGACCCAAAGCTCATAACCCTAGATGAGGGTAGGAACTTAGATCGACTGGTAATTCAAGAGCTTTGCCTTTGCCTAGGCTCGGCTTCCTCTTCACCACAACGGACTACAACTATCTTTTCTCTATTCTTCCATCAAACTTAGATTTATACTGGGATAAAAACTCACACTGGTGGACTATACTGTTTACTATTAAACTGAATTCTATATGCATAGGTTAAACTGTGTCATGACTGCACTTTTTGGTTCTGTTTAAGTTTCTTTTTTTGAGTTTTTAGTTATACTTTCAATCATGACTTTCTGTGTTTTCTAGTTTATTGGTTTCATTTCCATTTTGAGTTATTGTAGTTATTTTGGATCGTATTTGTGTCAGTCTCTTTTTTCCTAGCTCCCTTATAGACTCCTCTGTCCAAACCTGCTCCCAATCTGCTGATTAGCCCGGTCTTCATTCAGTCTCCCATTTATATACCTAATATTCAGTCACTGTTTGTTGGTTCCTTGTTGTTGTTTTGTTGCTCCATTGTTTCCTGGCTCCTCATGTGTGTTTCTCCTGAATTTTGGCTTTCAGTATTTTTGATTTTTGCCTCAGTTCACTGTGGAAACTTTTTAATCTACAAACTCATCTCTGCCTCCTCATCTCTGCATTTGGGTCCTGTTGTGGGAAAATTTTTATCTTTCTTCTATTATATATTAATATTCATATTTACTCACTATAAAAGTTTTCACTCAGTCTGTTCCTCTCTCAAGGCCACACATTTCTCTCCAAGCTGGTATTTGTAGACCAGACATTGCTTCTTCCCATAACAATCCAGATTCTTTCTCAAGGTTTACTGTTAACCAAAGTGTGTGTAATTTGTTATGACTCTGACTGCTTAATTAAGGGGGGACGAACCCTGCCCAGATCAGAACAGAGCAGAATGCTGTGCCATGATGACTGTTCTCTCTTTGCAAAGATATTAATAAATGTGCCGACTGAGTGAAATCCATCGATCTCCGTTTATTGAACTAGGATGAATAGTTGAATACTTTTTTCCCACGACAGGTCCTTAAAAAACCTCCACCCAACCTGAAATTCTGTATTTTCAAAATGTTGTGCAAATACAACATTCATACTACATTTGGCTACCAGCACAGTTAAAAGCGCCCCTAAGTAAGAATTTATTTAATTGAGGGTCCAGTTAATTTACAATGTACAAATTTCTTCTTAATGGAAATCAAACGATCGCAAAACCATTTTTTAGAAGAGGAAAGAAAACTTGCAAAGGAGAGCTTGGAACCCAGTCATTCATGAGGTTTTGGTTTTCATTTATTTATATGATTTACTTGCATTATAAAAGGGTCATTTCAGTAGGATATCACCAAAATTTTAACATAACTTGTTAATGCATCAAAACACAAAAGGGTTGCTTTATAAAAAAAGAGGCCAACTATAACTGCAGGATTAATTGAAAATCTGAAATTTTTGCCAGTAAGCAGATAAAGCCAATAAACAGCAGACGGAATCGGCTAAAGTAACATAAACCTAGTGAATCGATAAACACATCTACTAAATGTATTTCCATCTCATTTTGTGGCACGTGTTAGTTTAGTTTCAGGTTTGGGATTTGCAATAGTCATTGTGAATGCAAAAAAGTAAATTGTACCAATTTGCTAAAGTCTATCATCTTGTAGTTTCCTAATATTTCATCTCGGTTCATTGGTTTATAGCTTTTCACTTTCGAACTGACAACTTTTCAGTTCAAAACGTTTTACCACAATAAAACTCCAATGTGGCTGAAAGTTTTACTTTTTTGAGAGGTTCATAAATATGCTAATCTCTCCTTCCCACCTTGGATGACATTGTGCAAACCATTGTTCCCATATCAAGCAGATACTTCAGTAAATCACAGATCAATTACAAATATTTAATAATATCAACTTGTTTGCAGGCAATTAGGGTACTATGCCTTAACAGAGCAATGTTAAGAATGCTAGAAGCCTTGTTGCTCTCATGCTGTCACATTTTAGGCCTAATATACCAGACAGTAAGGGTGTATACTGTGTACATAGGAACTGCAGCAGGCTAAGATTTCATTTGTTCTTAGACTAATCGTTCTGCCATCGTAGTGAGGACTTTGTGTTGACTACCATAGACCTCTATTGATTTTAAGTCATTTTCACACCTTTCTATGCCCTAACCCTAAAACTAAACCTAAACCTAACCATTACCAATGCATACCTCACCCTAACCCTAAACAATTGAGACCTTATCCCTAAACCTAACCATTAGAAAAATAGTATATTAGGACCAGCAAAATGTCCTCACTTTGCAACAACTAGTCCTCAATTTGGTCCTTAAATTAGAAAAATGGTCCTCACTCTGAAGGCTAGACAGGTACACCCACACAAACACACACACATACACACACAGCAAAGAATAATTTAGAGAAGCCAATTAACCTGAAAGTCATATTTTTGGACTGTGGGGGGAAGCCGGATTAAGCTAAGAGAGCCCACACATGCACGGGGAGAACATGCAAACTCCGCGCAGAGAGACCTGGGCCAGGAATCAAACCCTGAACCTTGCTGCAACGCAACGGTGCCACCCACTGTACCACCATGCAGCCCATTATGAAAATGATCTGATATTAAGTTATAAAAGAAAATATGAACCAGGAAAAAATGGGTCTTACTTTGTCCATGGCTTGCAGGTGCCCTCCTTTTCATCAAAATGATGATTTCCAGGGCATTTTTTCAGTTCTATGATCATTAGATTAGATTAGATTAGATTAGATTAGATTAGATTAGATTAGACAGACAGACAGAATATCTTAATGAAAATAGCTATAGTCTCTTACTGAAAGCAAAAATAAATAGAAAATTAAATAATCCAGGTCCCTACAACTCTCATCGACATATCGAAATATGTCCATTCTCACCTTCATTCTGTGCATTATTCACTTCACTGATGTTGCTTTTCTTACAACTTGAGCAGCTGTGGTCAGAGCACAGGAAGCCAGGTCGGCATGTACACTTTCCTTTTGTGGTTTTTGTACAATTCTCAGTTCTCAGTGCTCCTGACAGACAGAAATGATAGACAAAATGTGGTAATTGTCCCACTGTGTTAAGTGAACCATCACTGTCCATGTAAAGTGTTACCTTCGGGACACGCAGGACACTTCGTACAACGGTCAATGTTGTGGTATTTATCTCTATAAGTACCCTCATCACAGGGATGGCAGTCAGATGATAGATCAGTTTCAGAGCAAAATCCCTTCAAATAAGTTCCTGACAAACAAGTAAAAACATTTTGTCATCCTCAAAGGTAATCAGCCAATTCTCAGTCATTGGCTCATTATCATCAATGTGATCACCAGATTTAGCAATACATCTGACTTACACAGCATTACTTTTCATGGTTTATAGAAATAAAAACTTGTTTTTTTTTCAATTTAGTTTTTAAGTACTTACCTGGTTTACAGTAGTTGCAGCACAGGTCACCGTGAACATATTGCTTCTCTCCACACATTTTGGTCTGTCCCATAGTCCAAGTGCTCAGTAAAAGCACAATTAGAAGTGCTCTCGGGAGACTGAGATGAATCATCTTAATGAGAGCTTGCTCATATGGCTCAGGGCTTTTATATTGCCATCCTCTGTGACGTCACTTTGACTTTGGTTTTCTCAGAGAGAAGGGGTGTTAGATTACAGGAAGTTAAAGACCACTTATCAAAACAGAGGTGCAAAAAAAAAAGAAAAACATAATCTGAAGTGTTGGATGAACTGAAATTTTTTTTTTTTTGGTAATCTGATTTTTGGTAATTAGATTTTTTTTTATATAGATAACCTGGAATATGAGTTTGAGTATTGTTTTAAAGTCTCCTTGTGAATTATTGACATTGGAGTTTGTCATCTAAACACAGTATGAACTGGTTTTAAGATGACATACGAAGATATCAAGTACTAAAACGTACTAAAAAGAACAGAGAGAATTTATCTTACATAATGTAAAACAATATAAGAATAAGATGACAGAATTTAGTCAACAATGATCAAACAAAACTTGTGGAATAAAAGCAGTAAGGAAGAAAGCAAAAGAGGAGCTAATAGTGAAAAATAACTATATGGAAACCCCTAAATGACAAAATTGACAGAATCAGACATGATCTAAAGAAACCAAGTAAAATAACTGCTGACAAAAACGTAACCTAAGGTTAGAAACATAACCAAACGCAGTTTCTCTCTCTCACCAAAACAGATACAATCCAGCTACTTAATATATTAATACATTTATATACGGTGGCAATGACCTGCCAAAGAGAGTTGACGAAAATTAAGACTTAAATTACTCTGCATGGCACATGAGTGTCGGTGTCCCACACACTGTTGGGTGCATTTCAGTTTTATAAGCAAAAGGTCATAGAGTGATCCATAAAAGAGAAAATATCCAGTGAGTGATAGTTGTGTTACAGTATGACTTATTGATGTTGGATAAAAAAGGAGAATTAGCTTAGCGTTCAAACAACTGGTTGTCAAAACTGAATGTGAAATAAAATCTCTGGACAAAGAACAAATCAAACCTGTGATATGACACAAACAGGCTTATTAAATACAAATAACAGAAATGTTGCATGGTCTGATAATTCACAATTTTAGCTCCAACATTCAGATGGAAAGTTTCAGAATATTTTTTAATTATACGAGAGTGTGGACCCAAAGCAAAGTGCTGTAGAAACATTAATAACATAATGCACTGATTTCAGGACAGTTATTTTGCACATGTCTTTTAGTTGCTGGTAATATTTGGAACACTGTAAACTGGTAGTATGTAAATGTGTCTAGGTTATGCATTAACCCTCCTTTCAGTTTTTTTTTTTTTGCAATCTTTGCTCAGTTTGATCATCTTGAGCTTCTTCCCTAAAATCAACCAAACTAATTTACAAAACTAAATAAAATTATTTCAGTGAGAATATAAGTTCCAACAAACCTAATTTGTATAGAAAAAAAAGAAGCTGAAAGGTTTCACTGTGGTTAAGAGACTTCAGAGACAAAAAAAAAAAAAGCTTTTTTTTTTCCTTTAAAGGTTTGAGCGTGATAAAATCTTTGTAGTAAGTTTCAGGTGCTCATTACATTTTTTTTCTCTGTTGATGTTTTTCAGTGTTCCATTGGTGAGGGAGGGTGACTAGCTGGTTTCCACAGGTCCTTCTTTAGGATATGGTTAAAAAACATTTATAAGTTTATTTGAAAAATATATATATATATAATAGTATTAATTCTTTACTGGTTTAAAGTAGTTTCTACTCACCTTTTTTGTTGTTTTGCATAAGAGATAAAAAGCTAAGAATAAAATAATGACTAAGAAGATAAAAATCAATAAAATTAAAAGTTATTCAACCTCACTTATAACACCGACTAAGTATTAAATCAAAAACACAGAGTTCACCTATCCTATCAAACATACAGAGTCCTACAATTTAATAAACTTAGACCCAATTTTTTTTGGACATCAGTCAACCTTGAAATAAAACATTGAGTATTTAACGAACTAACCTTCAAACGCCATTGTCAGCAGTTTTGCTAGTACATCTGTTACATGCTTTGATGTAAACTAAGTTTAGGGCATGCTCTTTTAAGCAAGCATATTTGTATAGTATCCTCCTCAGAATAGAAACCAGTAAAATAGCTTCTTTTTGATGTGCTAAAGAAGATCTATAGTAAGAGTAACATTATTCATGAAAGTGTTTAAGTGGTGTTTATTATTTAAGATCTTTGGCTTCCTTGATTGTCTGAAATGAAATATTTGAAATTGTCTGCAGTTTCGAAAAGAAGCGGAGAAGGGGAAGAACGTGAGTTTGCAGTCCATCTACATAGATGTGTGAACTCTGCATATACGTGATGATATGTAAAGGATGATGCTTTTAACCTGCTGTCACTGTGGTCTGACAGTCTCGAGTTCTCAGGTTTGGAGTTTCCTGGTAAATAAGACTCAGTGATCAAACATTCTGATATTATTCCAAACGAAGCCAGATTGTTACACCTTTAAATGACAGAAAAAAACACTGAGCAATTTAAACACTCAGCTATCATTTTGGTATTGATCAACTCACCAAGTGCACTTATGGGAAAGATGAAGCAAAGAAAGAAGGAAATCACCTTCCCTTTTGATACTCTCCTTAGACACCTGATCATACATAAACCTAATATGAATTTTTCATCTGGAAGCCAACTTTATGTATTTTGTGTACTCTGAGATGGATACCTTAGAAAAGTAACAATCTAGATTCTTATTATGATCATCAACCTTACTTTCCAATTGAATATTCATACTCATTGATTTATTTTGTGAGTTACTTCACCACCTGGATCAAGAAGTTATATTAGCTATGGCAAACACATTTCAGAAAAAGACCATTATACCAAGATTCAAACATGGTGGTGGTAGTGTTGTGGCCTCAGACTGCTTTGGTGCTTTATGATGTGATTAAATTACTGTAACTAATTAAACCGGGATTTTGCTCTCGAGCAAAAAATGTCTCCCCATGAGCTAGTAACATTAAACTGAAGGCCACATGGGTTATGCACGTCATCAATGCCTACTGAAGCTTATTTTTCAGCAAAGGTGCAGCTGCAAAGACTGCAATAAGTACGTATGTCTTTGTTTTGTAGGAACAAGTCTGTTTGATTAACGAAACTGATAAGCAAAAAGCTGAACTGTAAGCAACATTAAGAAGCTAAATCAAACCATTTTACTGCATCAGACGATATCATACCTGAAGCTGCTAACTGGAATAAGGGAGATAAATACTGGTGATAGCAGAATGCATGACAAAGTCTGAGGTTATGATTGATATAATCTTTTTTTTTCTTAAAGCTCACAGTTTCCAACTTGTCTCTAAAAAAGCAGATATAGACTTTTCTGTTCTGTGCTGCTTGTATATATAATATACCTGATCCACTCAGACCATTGTAAATAAAGATCCTTTTATTACGCTTCATGAGGTTTGATAACATTCTGTGCTTCTTTGTCTGTAGTACAGATATTGCAGGTTTGTTTACGTTTTAAGTTACAGTATTATATGTGAAAGGCTAAATTTGAAATCTAAAACACTTCCTAAAAAGGTTTACATAGAGCATAACTGTGATTCAGTGGCTCATTGTTCCTTTTTTCTGCAAAATCAGCAAGCCTGATTGTTATTTCTACTTTTTACCCCAGTATCTGTTATAAAATGATCACTTATAGCATGTCCAGTTTTGATTTTTTGCCTTTGGTAAACCTAGTACTAGTGAGAAGCTGGTCCTTTCAAATTCAGACTCAGAAACCCCCTACCCCACCACTAACAAAGCCCCTCACAAAACCATACACAATTGAAATTGCTGACTTTTAAAGCTTTAACTAACGCAAACGTTCTGCTTAGTTCAAAATGTTGCTTGCAGCACATCTGTGGTAAACAGCACAACCACACTGACAGCCTACTGATGTCTCTACACTGGCAACTCTTTACACAGCTACATCCAACAGACAACCCAAACTTTCTCTAACTGAAACACACGTCACTAGAGCGTGTGTGTGTGTGGGGGGGGGGGAGTAATTTCTTGACACATCTAGGCTCTGTGTAGATACTTTTTTTTTAAACCCTTGCCAATAAGAACCATTGATCTTCCGCTACATTTTTCCAGTAGGCACTGTCTACATTATTACAAGTTTTCCATGGCATGTGGTCATGGTAATTCAGGCTCTACAGAAGCCACACAGAGGAGCATCAATCCTGAAAATATGCAATATGGCCATGCAGCACCATGCGGACCTCACCATTGAGACAAGCATAAACCAACCTTGAGCTCTAGTCACTTTGAATACATTTACAATAGAAGGATGTTGGTGGAAATTGTCTTGTAGGAGGCCTAGAGGAAGACCGAAGAGACTTAGGGTCGGATCTATCAAAGGTTTGCGTGTATAAAAACGTGAGCTATTTCACTGCGCACGCTAAAAAATGTACAAACTGATCTATCAACAGCGTGCTAAAAGGATTTGGTCTTTAAAACGTGCTAAATAGCGCCTCTTATCCATTTAGTACTTTTTCTGCAATGAATATGCAATATGGGGCGTTTACACGCAAAAGTGCGTCTTGTGGGAGGAGAACATGTAAATATATTAATTTAGCACCCGCAAAGTGATTTATCAAACCTGAAAGCTATTTTGCTAACGGTATCTGGTGCAAATGTACTGTATGCGTAATTGCGCACACATGGCAGCGGTTATTGTCGCAAGAAGGAGACATCGAAATGAAGCAAGTGGAGGGGAGAACACATTTTTTCACTACGTGTGAATATTTTTGGAATGAACGAGGAAACGATCATCAAAACATATCGTTTATCCAGCATTGTCATTTTGGAGCTGTTGGGGGAACTCCGAATGGATTTGGAGCCAGCCACAAGGAGGACCCACGCAATACCAGATATCACAAAATTCCTTGCAACATTGCACTTTTTTGCATCTGGGTCATTCCAGCGTACGGTTGCAGTGAGAGCTGGGATCTCCCAATCTCTCATGATCAGGCAGGATTTCTAGCCCAAACGCAGAACTCACAGACACAGAGAG